TATATTATTTTAAGTGTTTGACTAATTTGTTTTGCACCAGTTTTATTCGCAGTGAGACAATATCACAACTCCCAGAAAGAGAGTGCACACTGGCTGGTGGGCCGTCCATGGTAAGCTACAATGTTCATTGAGGACCGTTTCTTATTTATTTGTTTTAATTTATTTTCTTTTACTTCTTTAAAAAAAGAGAATTTTACTCGTCATTCCATCCTTTTTCATTTGAAGTGCCATATCATATAAAAGTACAAATGCTGACTTTTTGCAAGTTAAAATACAAAACTTTCAAATGCTCAGTACGATTCTTTTACTTTGCGATTAAAAAAGAAAGAAAAACAAGCATGTTTTTGTAGTCAGCAATCCTAGTCTGTTTTGATTGATTAACTGTGGATGAATGATGTGTCTGTTGTATTTGTCATAGGCACGGACTGTAGTTTAAGTTTTTCGTGACAAAGGTATTAGGCACGGATTTTGGCACGGACACGAAAGGCTGCCAATTTCGAAGCTCCAAACTGTATGGCACGGAAATCGAGTCCGTGCCAAATATAGAGACGGCGTCACTCGTGACAAAATCGTTCCAAACTGACGGTTGTAAGAAAAACGTTAAAGATATTAGGCACGGATATGTCCGTGTCAAAATTGTGTTCTTACAAATATAACATAAGTCACGGATATATCTGTGCCTTTATTTTGAAAAATTTCAAAATATTCAAAAATTTTCAAAAAATTCAAATACGCGGGGAGATTAAATTTCGAAATTCAAATATTTTTGCCACGGACATATCCGTGCCATGGATTTTAAAAATTAAAAAAAAATATTTTTTGTCACGGATTTATCCGTGCCTTAGATTTCGAAAAATTAAAAAAAACAATTTTGAAAATAAAAAATTAATAATACATAATAGGCCATAATTCAAATACGGAATAAATCACTCACAGCATAATAATGTAGATTAATAAAAGTAATATCCATAATGAAAGTAATGTCTAGAACCCAAATGAAGATCATCACAGACAAATGTTAATGATGAATAATTATAGATTTTCATTGTTTAGAAAACTGTTAACACCACAGTTATTTGAATTGTGTCCTTCCGGTTGAACGTTTGGCATTTGGGGAAGGACCGTAGGTTGTTGAAAAACAGGCATGTGAGAAGGCAAAACTCGCGGGAATTAAAGGTGCTCCTCATGACTTTGTCTGTGTCCGCCGGCAAAACCCTGAGCAACCATGTGTAACGAAGCTATAAATGTAATAAAAAATAAATTAGTATTGAAATAAATTAGTATTGTGTTTAGGACAGCTTCTTGGCTGGAAAAAAATTAAAAAAAATTAAAAAAAACATACAAATAATATATGAGATAATAAAAAAACAAAAAAATTACCCCTTCAATTCGGCCTTAGTGATCAAGCGCGGAAGATCCCCGTACAGCACCGCACTAGCCTCCGTTGAAACTCCGTCTCCTCCTTTGCCGCCTCCTCCACCCTCGACCTCGACCTCAGCCTCCAAGTCGCCACCGTCATTGAATATGTACTGCGGGGTAGTGGTAGATGGCGATTTCGGTGGTGCTCGAGAGTGAGAACGCTGAAAGCTTCCCCTACCGCGAATGCTACCGCGGAAGGAAGTGCTCTTTGCTGAAGACATTGAAAGGAGAAGGGGTTATGCGGGAGGAGGGCGGAGGAGGGATGGCGGCGAAGAAAGAGATAAGAGAGTGGTTAACGAAAAAAACGAGAAAAAACATGTAAGGGGTGGTAATATAATTAAACCGTAGGTACGGACGTAAGCACGTCCCCAACCGTGCCTATACCGTGCAGTAAATATCGGATTCTTGGGTAATGGTGTAGGCACGGCCGTTGTCGTGCCAAATTTCAATATCTCTGTGTGTGTCAGGCTTTTTGTGTGAGATCCATTCTAGGCACGGCTTTTTCCGTGCCTACTAGAGGGCATTAAACACGACAGTTTTTGGTAATTGCATAGGCACGGCCCTGTCCGTGCCAAACAAAATGAACTCTTCGTTTGTAGGGGTGCATTAATAGCGTGTCATAAAACGAATTTATTGGGCTTGTATGTAGGCACGGCGGTTTCCGTGCCAAACTAAATGCCTCTGCAAGTGTGTCAGGCATTTGTCTAGGATTGAAATTAGGCACGACTATTTCCATGACAAGACAGTCTTGTCCTTTTCGATTTTGAATTTTATGAGAAAGGTAGGGAATTGGAACAACTAAATCCGTGCCTATTGGTTAGAATAAACGCCGTCCGACAACACCGTTAACTTCTTAACGTTTACGCTATTGGCACGACATTTGGCACGGAAAAATGCTAAGCCAAATTGAAACGCAAATAGAAACACGCCATGTGGCTACTTTTTTTTTCGGCGTAGTCACGGCATGTCCGTGCCTAATATTCCGTGCCAATTCCGGGAGTTTTTTGTAGTACAGCCATATAGGGAACATAAAAGCAAGGGGCGTAAACGCAAGGGTCGCAAAACCAAGGCACGCCAAAGCAAGGCGTGAGAAGCTTGATGTGCGCGCATTTATGTCATGCGCCAGATGTGTCATTAGACTTGAGGATGAAGTGAATGCTTATTATTACTATTATTAATATATGAATTGATCACTTTATTTAAGCTTCTACGACTGTGTCTTTCAGTTATTAATTGATCTTTAGTCCATAAGTTTTTTGACACTTGGGTCAAATTTTTGATTGAAAAAGTCTAAAAAACTTATGGGGTGAGTTGCGGGGGGTTAGTGCAGTGGTGAGGGGGCAAGGTCAGGGATGGGTGTTAAGAGAGGTATGAATTGTCAATTTTATGAATGAAGTACCATAGCTATCTCGATTGAAATGCTGTCATGAAGTTACACCATTTGGGATGGTATAACTCTTCATTTCCTCATATATATATATATATATATATATATATATATATATATATATATATATATATATATATATATATATATATATATATATATATATATGAGGTTCGTCTTTGCAGCTGGAAACGGGATCACAAATTCACAATGACTGGAGAAGGAAAACTTCCGCCATCGCCGCCGGTGGCAAATGCTCAACTCTTCGGCCTGTTAACAGATCTTCTCCAGCAGGTTGAGTCACTCTCTAATCAAGAGGAGGTGGAGTTACGCGCCAAGATACATGCCCTAGGGCAGGAAGTCACAAAAGTTCCTTCAAAATCAGCACCTCATCTTGATGAGATGGAGATTGCCAAGGAGTTGGATAAGCTATCATCAAAGCTGGATGATGTAGAAGAGATGGTTTCCTCAGCGGGCCCTCAGGTCATGTCTCTCTTAAGCACAACTTCTGATCTATGGATGCCTGTTATGACTGCCGGTGCCGATGAGGGTATGAGCTTCACGGAGACTGTTCGTGATGAGAATCATAACGTTAATGGGAAAGAATCCAAGTAGCTTGTTAGAATGTTATTGTTTTGTTAGTTTATTTAGTCCATGCTTTACACGAAGTTTAAAAAATTGTCAATAATGACTCTTTTATATCCGTTGGCTATGAACCTTGTTTTTCTTTTCTTAATAAATGGTCTTAATTTAATATATATATATATATATATATATATATATATATATATATATATATATATATCTCCCTATTTCTATAAGCGCCTATGGCCGTTACCTTAGTCTTTTTTCCGTTTGATTTAACGCCTCAGTGCCTCTCTCCGTTTCATCTAATTTGCACGAAAAATGAAGGCTATTGGTCACTTTGCCGCCCACCGCCCCACGACAATGCCTTCTTTGCCGTTCACCGCCCCACTATCGACCACTACCTTCGTATATCTTCACTGGGATGCATTTGCCTCTTCTATCATCTTCATCTTTATCGGAATTGCTCAGCTTCCTTCGGCAAAACCTAGGTAAACCTCCCCCTTCTTTTTCCAGTTATTCCTGCACCATTTTTTGGCCAATACTTGTGCACAGCCGATAAAAAAAATTGTTGCAGTCTTTGATTTTGGATTCCTTCCTCAAATTTCTGTTGCAGAGAGAATACCCATTTTGTTAAACAAATTTTTATATAGACCTTCTTTTCTAGATTTTGCTTCAAGTTTTCGTTAGGGATATACCTCAGCCCAAAGCTTATCATATTTCCAGATTTTGCTGCACTAAACCCTGTAAATTCTTTTCCGTGTTCTGTTACGGTTTTCATTGTTCTCAATTCTTTTATGAGCACACATTTAAAACTTCATTTGGAGTAATTATGTAATTATGAATTGATTAAAAACCTTCTTTTATTACCCATCAGTTTGTTTGAATCTGTGATTGGAAACGAGAATGAATGAAAATCTGTTCAAAGAATACCTTTGTTAACTTGTACCTACAATTATTCACTTTTACTGCCTATCTGACTGAACAAATTAATTATGTATATTTAGCTTATGAAATTACTCCAGATATTGCAATGAAGGAAAAGAAAGATAAATTTTGTTGTTCTTATTCCTTCATAATGAATCAGCCCTTTCATGCACTTCATATAATTGATTCCCCTAGAAAAAGTCCAATTGGAACTACTGAATTCCATGCCAAATGGGTGCTTTTCTCTTGCTCTGAGGTGTATAAGAGCACGAACTATTACAGAAAAGGTGAAAAATAATCCTGAGTAATTCATAACTCCAAATTAGTTTTCCATTATGTTTTTCTATGTCTGAAAATTATATTATTATCACTTCTTTTAAAGAGAAAAATTGTATGTTTGATAAGTTTACATTCATATCAAAATAAATCTAAGCTACACAATTAAATTTTATCAATATACATGCCAAATAGTAAGCTAATATACATCATGGAGTTTTTTTTCATTTCCTTTTCCTTAGTAGACTTGTCTATTCAGGGAATTGACAATACTTAAGACCTTAAGGGCCTTCAAGATTTAAGAATTCACTATATTTGATCCTATTGAAACTTGAAACCTTAAAAGGCATTGTATCTAGAGGTGCTGGTTGGGTTGGATAAGTTCATGAAAATAATACATTTGGAAAATAAATAAAAGGATAAATCAATTCAAAATTGTAAAATTTTCAACTCTACCTTTATATTGATAGAGCAAATGGGTTAAGTTATTCAGCTTGTTCATAATTCTATTCAATTAGAGTGTATATTAAAAGCAACATCTGAATACTGCACTGGTTAATCACATTGAATATTTAAAATATACCGCAACTGTTCCAAAAAAACAACCTCTTAGTATTCAAGGGTCGCCATATTTTACAAGGTCACTCAAAAAAAAACTATCATTTCAATTAATTTTCATATGCCAAAACAGGCAGTCCCAACAATCTAGATTTTGTTATAGGAAAATTTTTATTTCTAAAAAAAATTCTGCTTGCCTTAGTTTTGTGTGTGGATATCCTTTAGAGCAGTATTTCACGTTTTAGGAAGGACAAATTGGTTCATACACTGGCAAGGAAAATCATTTACATTCCATTTGCTAGAGCAAGTATACAAAACTGTTAACTTTTGAATTATTCATAGAAAAACCCGGTTTCAAGTCAAACTATTTATGTATGTTTAAGTATACTTCTTTGAATTTTATCTGTACAACAGTTAACTTATTTTACCTCTTAATATTGAATACAGGTCACTTATATACTGTTCGGGCTCTTTCTTCACCTCTTCAAGTTACGCTTCAACTTCTTTGGTATGTTTACACACTTCTAATCTATGCTTACTTTCCCCGTGTAATAAAATGATTTTAAAATTAATCAAAGTCCTTACTTTCCCCGTGTTGATTTGTTAAACTTATGCTTAGACTTCCTTCGTATGTTTAAACACATTTAACATATATTAATATCTATGTTTTAATAGAATGTTTACTACTCTTAGCAACATAAACATTGGTGTATGTACTCTCCATTTTATTATTTTAGGCTTCTTCAAAGGTACTCTAAGTTTACTACTTTTTGCCAAAGTTGTATACTGTAATTCCCATAACTTCAAGCCATTGATTACTCCTACGTTTGCTTGTAACTTCTCAAAGATTCAATGGAAATTGGAATGTAATCAACTCAGCTTGCATCTGAGAGTGATCGGCGTGAGCAAATAAACTTTAGGCGTCGTCTTAGATATCGTGACTTACATGAAAGGGAAAAAAACCTCGCTCCAAATTCTTCCTCTTCCACTCAAGGTGTAGCATTTAACTCCTTTATCATTTATGAGTTATTTATACCTTTCTTTACTTTCGGCCAAATTTTCTAACTTCTTCATGTTTCTACCAACTCGACTTTCTCCTTCAAATGCTATAACGATGTCACCATTCCACCTACAACTATACATCATATTCTTATAGATTCAGTGAAGAAGTTTGCATACCAAGATACGATTTTCTCTTTAAAGATGGTATTAGACTGTATTTTTTGTGGGGCAAGCCGCATGCAGTTTGAACCTCTGGGGTTTTGCTGTTGTCGGGGTGAGGTCGTTCTTTCATCAACACAGATGCCTCCTACTCTTAGAGACTTACATATCGCCAATGATGTCAAAGGAAAACTATTTCAATCTCTTGTCCGTACGTACAACAACACGTTTGCGTTCACTTCTATTGGTATATATAATTATGACAAAGATCTATGCAGGAGGAATAAAGGAATTTACACCTTTAAGGTTCAAGGACAAATACACCACTTTGTGAACGACTTGCTTCCAAATGTTTCTCCACCTCGAAATTTACAACTATATTTTTTTGATATCGATCACCAAGTTGAGGGTAGAGTAGAGACATTGGATAGATTAGATAAAGAGATTGTAACTGCTCTTGTTGAAGTGATTTCAGACAACCCATACACTCAATTTTTTAAGAGTCTGAAAGACATATGTAATGATGCAGAATTTAGCATTAAGCTACATAACCATCAAGGTCTAGACCAACGAGTTTATAATACTCCTACTGCCTCACAAGTTGTTGCAATATGGGTGGAGGATAACAACACAGAAACTCCAGAAAGCAAACACATTCGTGTTTATGCTCATAGTGGTAGATCACAGAATATACAATATTTTTACGGATGTTATGATCCATTACAATATCCACTGTTGTTCCCTCATGGGGAAGTAGGTTGGCATACAGGGATTGATAGGGTATTATCAGAATCACAACGACATTTAGCACGGAACACACAAATACCCTCTGTTATGCCAGGTCTTAATGTTGCACATACTACTGAGGAGATAATTCAAATCGAAGAAGATAATATTCAAAGTGGGAGAAAGAGAAAAACTGTTTCATGCAGGGAATATTACGCTTATAAATTCCAGATACGCCATGATGATTCCAGCTATTTATTACACACCGGAAGGCTTTTACAACAGTTTATGGTTGATGTGTATGTTAAGATTGAGACCCAACGGTTGGATTATTATAGACTAAAATAGCTTGACCTCAGATCTGAAACATATCAAGGCGTTGTTGATAGCATGCATATGGGTATGGTATACGGTGATGCTGTTGGCCAACGTGTTGTTCTACCTGCTTCATTCATAGGCGGACCTCGGGATATGCGTAAACGTTACCTAGATGCAATGACAATTGTTCAGCAATATGGGAAACCAGATTTATTTGTCACAATGACGTGTAATCCTAATTGGCCTAAAATCAAAGAACATCTCCAACACAAAGACGAGGCGCAAAATTGACCGGATCTTGTATGTAGAGTCTTTCATGCACGTTTACAGGAATTCAAAAATGACATAATCAAGAAGAAATTTTTTGGGGAAGTTGCACCATACATATACGTAATTGAATTTCAAAAGCGTGGCCTTCCCCATGCACATTTTCTTTTTTTTAAAACATATTTATTCTTTTTATTGAATCCCATGCACATTTTCTTATAATCTTAAAAGTTCCTGCAAAAATTCAAAGGCCCAATTCATGCGACAAGTTTGTTTGTGCAGAAATACCCGACCCTCTACATCAACCACGTCTATATACACTTGTTAAAAAACACATGATACATGGACCTTGTGGCACCCTTAATCAAAGTTGCCCATGTACGACGAAAAAAAAGGGACAGGTAACAGCCTCCTGTAGAAACAAGTACCCCAGATCTTTAATTGAGGAAACATCATTTGGTGAAGATTCATTCCCGGTCTACCGTAGGAGAAGCGGCACTAATTCCGTAGAAATACGTGGCTACAAACTTGATAACTCTTGGGTGGTACCATATAATCCACAACTTTTGTTGAAATTTGATTGCCACATTAATGTTGAGATCTGTGCATCAATTAGATTCGTGAAGTACATATATAAATATGTTTACAAAGGGCATGATAGAATTTCAATTGGAATCACAAATGATCAAACCGCTCCTTCCAGTGACGAGATAACATCTTATCAAAATGCAAGATGGGTTTCGGCACCGGAGGCGGCATGGAGGATATTTGCCTTCACCATTGCCGAGATGTACCCCCCGTTCAACAATTGCAAATACACCTGGAAAACTTTCAGTATATCATCTTCTTCGGAAATCAAAGAATCACAAAAATAGTGAAAGATGACACCAGGTCAAGCACAATGTTGACAAAATTCTTTGAAATGAACCTACACGATGTGACTGCAAAAAGACTACAACTTCTTTATGTACAATTCCCAGAGTTTTTTGTTTGGTCAGACACAAACAAGATGTGGATGCTACGAAAACGAAAAAACATCATAGGACGACTTGTGAGTGTTAATCCAATTGAGGGTGAAAGATATTATCTTCGCATGCTACTCCAACATGTAAGAGCTCCAACATCGTTTGCCAGTCTAAAATTTATAGATGGTTATACAGCATGCATCCACATTCCGAGAAGGTGCAGAGAGAATGGGGCTTCTAACAGAAAATGCTGCTGCTGATGTTTGCCTTGAAGAGGCTGTGATGTATCAAATGCCAAGTAGTTTGCGGAGATTATTCGCGACACTATTTGTGTTTTGTGACATTCCAAATCCAAGAGAGTTATGGGCTAAATACAAAAAGTATCTATATGAAGATTTTTCGCAGGTACACATCTACACTCCATTGGAAATGGAAACAATGACACTAAAACTTATTGGAGATATTACTGAAGCACTTGGAAAAAGTATTCTCACATTCAACCTAACAGAATGTGCCATACCCTTAACAGTTGCGGAAATTCAAGCACGAGAATTAAGAGCAGAATACAACATAAATATAAGCGAGCAAGATCTTCAATGCGCTCAGATTCTCAATCGCAGCCAACAGATTGCATTTGACTCTATTATGAAGAGTGTGACAGCCAACAAACCTACAGTGTTTTTCGTAGATGGCCCTGGTGGCACCGGAAAAACGTTTTTGTACAGAGCATTGCTTGCAACCATCCGGAGCAAAAAATGGATAGCTTTAGCTACTGCAACATCAGGCATTGCTGCTTCTATTCTTCTTGGAGGCTGCACGGCACATTCTATGTTTAAATTACCGTTGGATGGAAATGATAGATACACCTGCAACATTGGTAAGCAAAGTGCAATAGCAACATTACTTAAAGAAGCACGAATCATCATATGGGATGAAATTACAATGGCTAATCGCGGAATTATAGAGGCATTGGATTTAACACTTAGAGATATCATGTCCTCCAATGACCTATTCGGAGGAAAAGTCATTGTTTTCGGAGGAGATCTACGTCAGACACGTCCTGTTGTCAGGAATGGAAACAGACAAGACTGTATAAATGCATGTATCGTAAAATCATCTCATATTTGGCCAAAGATGATACGCCTAACTTTAGAAGAAAATGTTCGGGCGCAAGGAGATCCCTCTTTTTGTGAGTATTTAATGGACATCGGAAAAGGGTCAACGCCAACTATAGGTTGTACAAACATCAAAATCCCACAACAATTCCTTGTTCGTACCCCCGACAGTTCAGATTTGTTATCGTCCCTGATCACAGCTGTTTACCCAAACTTGAACCTTTTTCAAGAGGATCCATATACGTTGATGGGGAGAATAGTATTAACTACTACAAATGAGTACGTCGATGAAATCAACACGATCATAATTGGAAAATTCCCTGGAGAATCAAAAACCTTGCTGAGCTATGACGTACCACTAGATGAGAAATACAAAAATTGCCAAGATTTGTTGCACACGTTATCATTTCCAGGTCTACCACCCCACACATTAGTTCTAAAAAAGAAATGTCCAGTAATTCTTCTGCGCAATCTAAACCCGTGTGAAGGCCTATGTAATGGAACGCGCTTAATTTGTGATGCATCTCACGATCAGCTGATAAGTTGTTTCATTGCTTTTGGTGAATATAAGGGAAAGCATGTCTTCATACCAAGAATTCCACTTGAGATGTCTAGAGATGAACGTTGCGCAATCCCATTTAAGAGAACTCAATTTCCCGTCAAACTCTGCTTTGCAATGACAATAAATAAATCACAGGGTCAGACACTCGAATTCGCAGGAATCTTTCTTAGGCGACCAGTCTTATGTCATGGACAACTATACGTTGCAATGTCGCGGGCCAAAAATGCTGCCTCCATCAAGATGCTTATCTATGATGAAATAGATAATTCGAAGACCACAAATGCTACCGCAAACATAGTGTACAGTGAAATCATTGAATACCTTACATAGGAAAGCACTAGGTTTATTGATTTTAAATGCATTTCGTTGCGCATTAATTATATTTTAAAGTCCATGTCGCCTATTCAAAATTTAATTTCATTACAAACTAATATACTACATTCACTTTTTTCAGAACAATGGATGCAAATCAAGATATTACAGACGTCACTCCCAGTACTAAATCATGGGGTTGCAAGGTCATACTGATAGAGAAGCTTAACGAGCGTCAATCAGCAAGGGGAGTAACATACAGGCACTACAAGAATTTCTCTGGTCTGCAATGGATATCTGCTACGGACCAGTTTCCGTAGCAGATCTGCAACGAATCAGCGACGGAATAATAATTCCGGAAAAAGACGTAGTGTCTGCGACGGATTTAATTTTTCCGTCGCAAAACTGCGACGGAACAATGTTCCCCGTCGCAAATTCTAATTGGTCAAATTTTGACCTTATTATCTGCGACGAACATTCAATTCCGTCGCGGATCCGTCGCAGATATTTACTCAAAATCGAGATTGGTTTTTTCTCAGCCATTCGTCCGTCATTCAACCCTAATCCTAAATCTCTCTCCCGCCCAGCCTCCCAGCCCTCCGCCACCCGTCGATGCCCGTCCTCGCCGCCGACGCACGTCCTCGCCAGCCCCGCCGCCGTCGCCACCCACGCCGGAACCTTCAGCCACGTCGTTCGCCCAGCCTCCCAGCCCTCCGCCACCTGTCGACGCCCGTCCTCGCCGCCGACGCACGTCCTTGCCAGCCCCGCCGTCGTCGCCAGCCACGCCGGAACCTTCAGCCACGTCATTAGCCCAGCCACGGAGTCCTCCCAGCCGCGCCGTCCACAAGCCGTCGCCACCCCTCGTCGCTGCCGCGAGTTCTCCCCTGCCAGCCGACTCTTCCCTCGCCGGACCTCCTCTTCCTCTTTGCAGTTGCAGTGAACTTGGAGGTATTTTTGTTTAATTTTATACAATTTATTATTATTATTATTGTTAATATTATTTTTGTAGTTTTTGGTGAAATTGAATTTGTTTGTGTGAAATTGAGTGCATTTTTGGTGAAATATAGTTGAAATTGTGTGAATATGAGATGTAATTGACATAAAATTGGGTAAAAATTGGATTACTTTTTGGTGAAATTGATGGCATTTAAGGTATAATTTTAGTTGAAATTGTGTGAGCGAATTTGGCGTTTATTGAGAATTCATGTAAAATTTAGTTGCATTTTGTGAAATTGAGTGCATTATACATTTGTATTTGTAGTTAAATGATTGTTGTTTGTGGCTTAATAAGATTGTCGTACAAATGAGCGATAATGAGAACCCCCCTCCCCCCACGAAGACTGATAGAGAGGTGTTGGCACGTTTGAGGAGGTCCGTCATTGGTAGATGGAGACCCTCTTCTCGCCAGGGATCGAGCACAGCCACTACATCCACAGGCACTCCCTCTATTTCCTCGAGTCCATTCACTGACACACAAGTGTCCCCCTCCACCCCACAAACTACGCCATCTGGCCCTTGTACGTCAGGTAAGAGACTAATATAGTGAAATTTTCAACAGATAAGCCATTAGAGTGATGTTTCATTTATCAAGAAACTGAAACAATGTCTACGCTTGTTAATAGCTCTTTTTAATGCATGTATTATTGTGTTATTGTGTAAATAGCATCTAGGGTCGGGGAGAGTAGTGAGGATCAGGAGGACGGAGGTGGCAATGACCACAACTCCGAGGACCGCGTTGGCGATGGACACGGTGGTGAGGTTCGAGATGGCGAGGACCGCGATCACGAGGACGAGGAGGGTAGATATCACGAGGGTCCCGGTCATCGGGGTCAATTCGTGTATCTCAATTCGGATGATGAGTAAGTACGGTGTACATTTGAAGATTATGGTATGACATAAAACATTTACAAATACCTAACGATTTTATGTTCACTACTTATATATGTTTGTAGGGTTACAATCACTAGCGCTGGAGTTGGTGACTACGAGCGGGAAATGAGGAAGATGAATCCGTCCTCCAAACCTCGCCGTTCCAGCACGAGTAGTAGAAGCACAGCGGAGATTTCAGCACTCAAAGAGCAAAACCAAAGGCTGCAGGAACAAATTGATAGTCTAACCTCGAACTTGTCGCTAACGATTCAGGAGGAGATAAGGAAGCTATATGGTGGTAACCTTCCTTGACGAGGCGATGATGGAACGGGAGGGGCAGGGCAGCCCGGGATTTGTTGAGACATTTACGACCTTAGCTTCCTCCATTTTAAACACTTGACACTAACATTTTAGTATTTATTGTTAGAATATAATGAATTATGTTACATTTGCATTTGAAGTTTGCATTAATCTAGATTTGAATTATCAATTTGGTTGTCGAAATCTTGTTTGGAATTATGTGTGTGAAAATTGAATGTGTTTTGCCCCCCCACACCCCCCATTTTAATAGCTAGTGCCGAAAATAGGGAAATTCTGGTTCTGTGAACAGGTCATCTGCGACGGAAAGATCCATTGCTATATCTGTCGCTGATCTGCGACGGAAGGTTCCGTTGCTGAATCCGTGGCAGATCTGCGACGGTTTGTTAATTCCGTCGCAGATTGTGGTTGATGGGAAAAATTAAAATCCCGTTGCAGGTCCGTCGCAGATCTGCCACGGAATCTAAAGTCCGTCGCAGAAATTAAATCTGCCACAACTTTTCTGCGACGGAAGAACTTCGTAGCAGATCCGTCGCAGATTGGAAATCTGCCACGGAATTTTAAACTCTGCCACGAATTTTTTCCGTTGCAGATCAGCAATTTCCTTGTAGTGAGGGCCATGATCATGGAGGATAGTAAAGTAAGATTTCATTTCCCACATTTGTACCCAAATTCTTAAAAAAACACTTATTCTCAAAGTAATAAATCTAATTTATACATAGGGCCATAAGGTGAAAATAATGACCTATGGACAAGATATCACAATTCTTGACAAGCGGCTTGAAGTGAACAACACATACAAGATTTTCAACGCAAAGGTTTCTGAAGCCATTCAAGGGTTTGGTGTTCCCGATGAAAGTTACAGAAATGTCTGGACACTTAATCGGAGGACAATGATCCACGATGTCAACTCAGAAGAGAAAATCTTAATTCAACCAAGTGCAGAACCTGAGATGGATCCATTCTCTCTGTTCTACAAAGCAATGCTTACAAATAAAAAGATCAGTAAGTGGCACAGATTTTGTTTAAGAAAAAAATAGTCTACCCTAAAATTATATGTACTTAACATCATATTTATGTTCTTATATCCTATGGAACTACAGATGTACTTGCAATTGTCATTGCCAAACTACAGCGCAAATTCGTCTTCACAAAAAAGGGACAAAAAATGGCAAGTGACTTCATAATCATCGACCATGAGTACGTTCCAACATTAATTCTATTTTTTTGCCTTTACTGTTTTGTTTTTCAAAAAAAACAAAGCCTTAAATGCAACTTCTGATTATTGCATATCATAATTTCCTTGACAAACTTTGTTTTATTCTACTGTTCTAAAAAAACTAATGACTAGTGCCTGACTTTGTTGAAAAACTTTGAAGCCCCTCAACACCAGTGGTTTTTGCTTATCAAAATTACCGGTGGTTTTCACTTTCTATTTTTTTAGACTGATCAGACCACATCTATCGCCATCCACTTTTTGACTTTATTCTGTCATTTCATATTTGCCATAAAATTTCAATTTTTTTACATTAACTGACTTTCACTCTACACTACAACCCTTTAACCAGGGGGCTGGGAAATACTTTAAACTTCATAACCTCTTATGCCTTAGTGTAATCTATTTCAATAATGAATGACTTACTGTAAAAAACATAGAGGACCAAGACAGCAAAGAATCAATTCTGGTGTACCAAAACTGAAAAATGTAATCTCTGCAGCCCCAATCATGGCTACTGATAAAATCAGACTAGAAACCAAAAACCAGACGAAATAGTAGGTATAAAGTAAATTGCCCAATGTTTCCAAATTAGTCCAACTTCGTACCTTTCCGGCATAAAATGTATATCTCAAAGAGATCGTATCTATTTTGGTTGGTAGTAATGGAAAATCTTCTTTGACACGGCTTAGATTAATCAAATTCGATATTACTAATTATGACCCTACAGTGCACCAACTAACTGATTGTAACCTCTTATGCACCAGCTAACTGATTTTGTAGTTATAACGCTACGATTTCTTTCCTTATTGGATTATGGTTTGGATATTACTATTTTCTAACTTGAAAATTCATTCTTGTAGATGCAAACCTATCACTTTGACACTGTGGGAGACTTTCGCAGAAGTCCAGGGGTGCGAAATTCAGCAAGCAACGCAATCAGGCGTTTATCCCACAATAATTTCAAGGAAGATAACAGCAACATCTTTCAAAGGTAAATGCATAGCATTATTAACATCACACAATATACCCCATACTCACATACTATACACCTCTACGCCTGAACTTAAACACAATCATTATATCAGGACTTTCATTAACAACACGACCGGATTCATCAATCGAGCTAAACCCAGTCATACCACCTACATCAATTTTGGATGAATGGTACCGCATCCTTTCATTTTTCAATCAATTATTCCTTTTGAACATATATTGCATTTATTAATTCAGTGTCTTGCAGGAAGTCTTCAAATACAGATGCCATAGAGCACGCCATTGAAATGAAAAAATGGCTGGACCCCTTATCTCTGTTTGCAAAGCCTGCAGATATTCAAACTACACTAATCTCTGAAGTAGCACGTACAGAAAACGAGGTCAATACCAAATCAGCCTGCGTCTTATATAAGTTCCTTTTCTATTTACATGCAATTAGTATTTTACATGAATACAAAAACAAAATGTCTAAACATACCAAAGAATTAACAGAGCAATTAAAACTGAAAACTGGACTGCCACACGTTACAGAGCAATTATTGAAAACAATAAGATTAGTAAATACCTAAAATAAAAAATACTACATAAAAAGGAAAAAAAAGAGAGGGCAAAGGACACCTGTAGAGGACCAGATCTTTCACCCAACCTGCTGTATATTTCCGAAATTCGCATCACTTAGGTCTAGCAATCCTAAGAGGGGAATCCCAAAGAGAAAATCATCTCTGTCCTGGTGCCAGTAATGCACACTTGCGCAATTAGTGCCCAATGGGTGGTATGTAAAATTAAATGTATGCTCATAATTTATATAGTTTATATGAGATAATATAGACATTAGAGGTTATGTTTACAAAAAGATTATAATATATGCAACAACGTCCTCCTACAGGATTTTTTAACATAAATGAGGATTCAGTATTTGCCAAAAAATACCTCTAACAGATGTGAACAACACAATATGCACGAATCATGTTTAGTTGCATAGTTCTGCGTTAAATCTAAACACAAGTTGTGCGGAGAGAATGTGAGAATTGTATGTTATGTGATTGAAATCGTATTTTGTAATTTTAAAGTAAATTACCTCTTTGTAATGCCTGCATGTTTACTGCCACATTGCATGAACTCGGACATATAGCTCTATTTTGCATCTTTTAGAATGACACAACGAGTCCAGACTAACTTCCTGGACTGAACCCCCTTTTACTTGAGTAGGCCTACCATTGAATGAAACTTTGTGCTAAAGATAAGCCTCATTTCTAGGAAGCCCAATTTTAGATCCTTCATTCTATCCGATAAGCATCCTTTAAACTGGAATACAAATGTTGCCCGGTATAACTAATGCTTGGAGTTTAGGTAAATAGACAGAATGAGTTGAACTATATTAAACAAATCTATTATTCAACTCATTCCCACAAAAAATCACTTCTGAGTTGCTCCAAACGCAGAGCACAAATAGCACACGCTGGCGAGAATAACAACCGCCTACGACGTGCCTTAGGTTAAACCACCTGGGCGCTAAGCATAACTTATTATGCTGGATACATCCTGGGAACTTCTAATGTGCATGTCACACTTTAATTTAAACATATACAAATATAATACATAATCATACAGTAGGATGTCCACTGGATTGAAGGACAGTTGCAGGTCTTAGAAGCTGGAGACATTACATTCTACATTGGTTGTAGCAGCTGCAATAGAAAAGTGAACTACATAGAAGGAATCAATTTTAAATGCATGCTGTGTGGTGACCCTGAAACAAAAACAATTAAGAGGTAACCACTTCCTCTTTACCACAATAGGCACAGAATTATTTTGGAATCTGTGGTTTCACATTATGAATACATTTCTTTAACAATTTTACAAATCATTACAGATTCAGAATTCTGGCTGAAATAAAAGATGAGCTTAGTGCTCTACAGGTCACACTCTTCACCGACACACTTGAAAAGATTGTACGAGCACTTGAATTGAATACACCAATGGAGTTCATAAAATGCGTGGATTTGAACAACAGTCTTGAATCTCAGAAGGTGACAGCTGCAGTGAAACAACCACCTCGCACCGAACAAACATCTGCATCGAAGATATTCTCAGTTCAATGCCTTTACGACCTCCGTGATGAAAAAAACAACAAGTCCAACCCTTAAGAGAAAGCTGAAAGTGGAAGAACCTAGTCCCAAAAAACAGTGCTGAGACATTTCATCATGGTAGAAGCCTTTTGGGCTTAGATCCTGCTAGGTTGGAAACCTTTGTTCAGTACATGTGCACTGCATTTTGTCATGTATACCTACCTAGCCCCTTGTTAAAAAGATACTTAATGCTACTAACACCCGACTACAAGAAACAAAATATGTTCCAAATTTTGTCACTCCCTCTAAAACAGTTTATAAGTTGTAATATACTACATCTAATATAACCATCACTCTTTTGTAACAATCACTCTTTTGGAACAAAGTAAGTTCCAAATTTTGTAACTCCTTCTAATAAAGTTTGTAGTTTGTAATATATTACATCTAATGTAACAATCACTCTTTTGTCTAATATTAATATACTTCTACTTAGTTAATATATCTATATCTGGGCACACACACACGAAGTGTGTCCCATGCTAGTATGTATATATATATATATATATATATATATATATATATTATTTTAAGAGAGGATTTTTATTGCACTTTAATAAAGGGGACAAGTTTGTCCAAAGCAATTACAGCAGAAATAGACTTAGGAAGTGAGGAAAAACTGTCAAAGAAAATACAATGAGTGCTCTGTGCTCCATGTTTTGCAAGAAGGTCAGCTGCACCATTGGCTTCTCTAAGGGTGTGGGTGATGCGAAGATTAAGATGATGTATCTTGTCCATGATGAATGAAAGAGCATTTGACGTCGGAGAATGTCTCAGCTTTGAGAGGAGTTCCATGCTGTCAGTTTCTACTATCATGTTGGGGAAGGGATAAACGCTCAGGGCTTGCATCATTGCAAGGGTTTTTGTGCAAAGTGGTGAGGTTTTTGGAAGGGGGAAGGTTATACCGTGGAGGAATTTGCCCTGGTGATCTCTTAAAACAGCTCCGCCACCGCATCCACGAGTGCTTGCACTACCATCGACGTTAAGCTTGAGTTGATAGGGGTTTGGAGGGATCCAACGAATAAGCTTGAATGAGGTGAGAGGTTTCCGGTGGAGTGAGGGTGGGAGAATGGTTCCTTTGTTTGCAAGTGACCATGCATTGAGGGTGTGTTTGATTACTTCAAGAGTTTTCTCTGGTTTAAATGTTTCTTGGTTCAGTTTCACCCGGTTATAAGTCTTCCACAGCTCCCACGTAATAATGGATGGGATAATGCGTTTGACCTGGAAGAGATGATCAGATGGAGACGTGGAAAGCCACCACATGATTAAGTTATGTTGGAAGGACGAATTGGAGATCGTAGGCAGGTGGAGTAGTTGTCCAAGATTATTCCAGATGCTACTAGCTTTGGGACAGAGCATAAGGCAATGGAAATCTGATTCTCTTTCTTGCGCGCAGAACATGCAGATGGAGGGGAGGCTGAAGCCCAACTTTTGGAGGTTATTAGCGAAGGGGGTGGCTTTGTTTAGGGTTTTCCAAAGGAACAGGTTAGCTTTTGGAATTCCTTTCTTGGGCCAGGGGATCTTTGCATTGAGCATGGAAGGGCCAGTTTCCTGTAGCTTGAGGGAGACATTTTTAAGGGAGAACGTGCCCTGGGTCCCTAACTCCCAGGAGAGCATGCCATTGTTGAAGTTAGAATTTTCTTTGCAGAAATCATCAGCTTGGCATATTCTCTTCCAAGACGGGCTGTCAATGATAGTTGTGGTGAAAGAACCACTCCGATGATAGCTTTGTTTCCTGAAGGAAACCCAGGGAGACAAGGTGAACTAATATTTCCACCAGAGCTTGCACCCAAAAAAATGTTGAAGAGTGCGTAGGTTTGGGATTCCTAGGCCCCCTTCCTCAAGTGGTTTACAAATTTGTTGCCATGCCACCCATGCATGCTTGGACCCTTCAGTATTTTTTCCCCAAAAGAATTGACGGAGTTTGCCTTCGATCAAGGAGAGGATCGATTCAGGAAGTTTAGAGGAGGACATGGTGTGAAGAGGGAGAGTGGAGAGGACATGTTTGATGAGTGTAAGTCTTCCTTCTTGGGAAAGAGTGTGCATTTTCCAGCTGGATAATTTGAGATCAAATTTCCTGAGGAGATCCTGGAAGTATTTGGACCTATTGATCCCTTTCTATAGGGGGACGCCAAGGTAGGTGATGGGTAGGGGGGCTACTTTCATCCCCAGGCAGTTTGCTTGGCGCCTAGCATGATTGGATGAGGGTTTGGGGGAAATAGTCTGGCTTTTGGCAAGATTGAGGTGGAGAACTGTTGCTTTCTCAAAGCCGCTAAGGAAACTTCTGAGTTTTTTGAGGTTGTGAAGGGATCCATTAGTGAAAATCAGGACATCGTCTGCAAAGGTAAGGTGGTTTACCGTTTGGATCCTTCCCGTGTTGTATTTTTTAAGACAGCCTAGGCTATGAAGGTGGTTAAGTGAGCGTGTCAGCCCTTCCATGGCGATGATGAAGATGTAGGGGGATAAGGGATCTCCCTGTCTAACTCCTCTCTTGGGATTGAAAGCTTTAGAAGAGTTGCCATTGATGAGGATGGAAACAACACTGAATTTGATGGAGTTCATGACTAGGCTTATAAAGATGTGGGAGAAGCCAAAGTGCCCTAAACATTTTTCAATGTAGCTCCAAGAGATGTTGTCAAATGCTTTAGTAATGTCTAGCTTAAGGGTGAGGTTGCCCCCCAAAGTCTTCCTATCCAACATGTGAATAAATTCCCTTGCAAGCAGGATGTGATGTGTGATGTCTCTTCCTGGAACAAAGCCTCCTTGTTCGATGGAGATGATGTCTGGAAGAACAGTAGTAAGCCTGGAGGCCAGGATTCTTGTGATGATTTTAAAGGAGAAGTTCGTTAGGCTGATGGGACGGTAATCACTGAAGGATGAAGGATTTTCCTTCTTGGGGATGAGAACTGTGTTTGATTTCCTCATAGCCTTAGGGGGGATGATTCCTAGGAAGAACTCTTGGACAGCACTGGTTACATCTTCACTTATTATATCCCAGGATTCTCTGAAGAAGTTGCCATTAAATCCATCTGGGCCAGCTGAGCTGTTGGGGTCCAAGTGCCAGACTGCATTCTTAATTTCTTCCGTGTTTGGTAAAAGGCAAAGGAACTCATTTTGGGGATCAGTAATGGTGTGTGGAATGTGTTGAAGAATGAGTTCCATATTGTGGGTGGGTTGAAGACTAAAGAGGTCCTGAAAATAAGTTGCACCAACTTCTAGGATTTCTGCCTCATTGGTGACTTGGATTCCTTGGGAGCTGAGGATGGAGTGGATGTGATTTTTGCGCCATCTAGCCCTGCATGCTGCATGAAAGAAAGAGGTGTTAGCATCACCTTGGGTGATCCACTTAGCATTCGCTTTTTGTTTCCAGAAGGATTCCTCCGTTTGGATACATTGAAGCAAGTGTGCTTTGGATTTCCCCGAGGTGGATCTAGTGTCACTGTTAGGGTTGCCCTCGTAATCCTCCTCCGCTTTGGTGCATTCTTCCTCTGCTAGTTTAACATTGTTGAAGAGGTTGCCGTAAGTGTTTTTGCTCCAGGAACTAAGGGATTTCTGTGTGGCTTGAAGTTTAAGGTATAGTCCATGCATTCCTCTTCCCGTATGGACAGAGTCCCAAGTATTTTTGAGGGTGGCCAGGTAGGAGGGATGGGAGGTCCACAGATTAAGGAATCTGAAGGTTTTTGGCTTGGTGGAGGCTTGGAAGGTAGCCTTAAAGAGAATGGGGCTATGATCCGAAGTTGTTTTGTTGAGGATGGAATAGTGCACTGTGGAGAAGAGACTATCTGCCATTGGGTTAATGAGATAGCGGTCTAGTTTCCTCGAAACTGTCCCATTAGAGCGTTTCCCAGTCCAGGTGAAGAGAGGTCCTACATGTTGTGGTTGAAGTAGATTACAATCCATAATACAACGGTTAAAGTCCTCTATGCTTGAGAAACATGGCACGCTATTCCCCCTGTGTTCATTTGGGGTTGTGATGGCGTTGAAATCTCCCCCAATGATCCAAGGGAGGGTGTGTGAGGACGAGTGGGATCGAAGAGAGTTCCAAAGTGGGAGGCGTAAAGTTTTTGAATGTAGCCCGTAGACTAGGGAGAACCAAAAGGTTGTTTTGGAGTAGTTGTGGGAGAAAAGGCCATGCAAAACTTGATCTTGTTCATGGTGTTGAATGAGGGTATAGTGAGAGGGGTCCCAAAGAAGCCAGGCTTTATTAGAGAGACCTTGGAGATGATTATTCAGACCAAGTTTGTAGCTAGAGGTGGGGATTTGGATAGGAGAAACCAAGGGTTCAAGGATACCCAAAAGTTTAATGTTATGGCATTGGGTGAGTTGGTGAAGTCTGTTGAGGGAGGATGGAATCCCCCTTACATTCCAAATGAGAATATTCATAAGGAAAGGTGAGTGAAGGGAGGTAGTGATTGGGAGGTCCTGGCTTGCTGCCTTGTGATCATGTTAGTTTTTGGTGGGAGGTGGGAGTTTCTGCTTTTGCGCGAGGTTTTAACTGGTTGGAAGGGATTCAGATCAATGTGGATGTCCCCCTTTGGGTTTGGTGGCATTTTTGGCGCAATAGAGTTGCTGAAGGCTCTAAGATCGTGGATAGAGCAAGTAGTGTATTTTTGCCTTAGCTTGGGATAAGCCTCTGTGTCAGATTGGTGGGCATAGTCCACAAAGGTTTTTGGGTCTGTGAAGTTGAGGTCACAACTGGGTGGACGTGGTTCGCTGCTAGGAGAGGGAGTAGGGGATAGGTTCTGGAGCAGGGCAACATCAATGGGGTCCTTAGGAGAAGGGGACAACGGGGTGGTGTTCAATGCTTGGGGGCTTGCTGGAAGTAGTGCAATGGGGGAAGGGGATGGGTTATGGGGTGGGGTAAGTGGAGTGAGGGGGTTTTGGGGCGTAGTGTTTAGGTCATTTGAGGAGGGTTGTGTGTTCGGTATTGGGATTTGGGGATGGTTTTGGACATTAAGGGGTGGGGTAGGTGAAGTGAGGGAGTTTTGGGGCGTAGTGTTTGGGGCATTAGAGGAGGGTTGAGTGATTGGTGTCTGGGTCATTTTGGGGATGGAATGGTTTTGGACTTTAGTGAGTGGAGCTTTGCTGGAAGGAACCATACCTGCAGTAGTTTGAGGTGCTTCCTGTGATGGTTTTGGGGGCATGCTTTTGGCCTGATGGCATTCCCCAGCTTTGTGGCCTGTTTTCCTACAGTTTGTGCAGAATTGGGGGACCTGCTCATAATGCACTGGTTGCTAGAGACCTTTGCCACCGTTGTCAAGGACCTGCTCATAATGCACTGTTTTGATTCAAATTACACAAATATTAAATGTCTGTGTTCAAGAAAATAAAGACTTTTAGTGTCTGTGTGACTAAACAGTATTGATTGTAATTTTTTATTTCTTTTTTTAAACATAAGAAAATTTCTGAAATGTTCTTGGTACAGTACTATTTCGTAGATTTGAAGGGTGAAATTTTCATCTGAATTACACAAATAATAAATGTCCGTGTATCAAGAATTATAGATATTTAGTGTTTGTGTAACTATATAGTGGTATTTGTAATTTTTTTCTTTTTTACAATCTAGAGAAAATTGTAAAGCATTCTTTATGATAACATTATTTGGTATATTTGATAGAAGTAAATTTGTAAATTAGGTTTTACAGACAATAAGTTTTTGTTTACGATGAATTATAGACGCTTGTTGTCTATGTGACCAAAACATACTCCGTACTTAGTTTATTTTTACAATATAAGAAAAAATCATGAAATATTCTTATTATTGTGTTATTTCGTATATTTGACAAGTGCAATTTTCATATATTAAATACATGGAGAACAAAAGCAAGATTTGGATCGGAGAAGGGCGACGAAGCATACTTTCAATTTCTTCGCCGCCACCGGCTTCCCCGTAATCGCCCTTTCCTCCCATATCGTCGCTGCAATTTTTTCTTGTCTTCAACAACGTAGCCGGAGCTGTAGATTTTGGCAGAGATCGTGGTGTAATTTTCATTCGGAGTACACATAGAGTAATTAGGGTGTATTGTATAAGGAATTGGATTCATATTTTTAATTCCATTGATTTCTATTCATGTTAATGGACTTGTGTTGAAAGTCATAGACTTTTATTGATATTTCAAAAGTCATTGATTTTATATACATAATTTCTATGGATTTTAACAAGTCCATGGATTTTTATTTGAAGAATTTTATAGATTTTACTTCCACCATCCAAGTATGTTCGTCCATCATTATTTTTGTACTCAAATAAGCCAATATCCCATCATTCGAGCTTCTATTTCTTTATTCAATGCCGAGCTGAAATTCCCAATAAAAAACAAATCAAGATAACTCCCCACTACAAAAAAAACTTTATTTGAAGGGAAGATACAAAAACAAGAAATAAATACTTTGAAAAAAACAAATGTATAATCCGATTGCCTGATTAATCCATATTTTTAAACTTTTCATTGTTATTGTTAATAATTTGTTTGATAAAAAATAGTATTGCAAATAATAAATACTTTGTATTTGCAAATTGGGGTTTTTTGGGTACAATTTGCAAATTGGAAAAATATATATATTTTTTTGGGAAAAATAAAACTTAAAATACTGAACATAAAGAAATTCTAATTCTCAATGGAGTCATTGCCTAACCTAATCTGGAACAGGAAACGGCTCTGGGTCTCCTTTATTTTTTTTACTTCAATTATTATTATTATGAGTATTATTGTTATTCAGAAGATTCAAAACTCCTTTGAACTCGGTAAAACAAAACTGCAGATTTATTAATCTCAAAAGAATTCAGATTTATTAATCTCAAAAGAATTGAAAATCTTTACTTGAGGGGGATGATGATACTTTGACGATTTCAAGCTGTCGATGAAGCTTTGATGGCCGACCACTAGGGCTCTTGCGTAAAAAAAAGTCTCCCAAGAATACTTTGCTCCTCCGTAAAGAAAATAAAGAAAATAATGGAGAAAGAGTATTTATAGTACTGGAGTAAAATATCTTCATATATGAATGATTTTATTAAATTTATGGATTTAATATTATTCTGAATATCTCTAGATTTTGTTTCAATTTTAAAAGTCTATTTTGAATACAGCTAGAATTTCGTGGAATTTATAATGACTTTTTAAAATCTTAATTAAATACCCCTAGATTTTTATAGATTTTAAAATAAAAGTTACAATTGAATACACCTAAACTTTCAAATTCTATTGATTTCTATTTAAATGAATAAGAAACTTTATACAATACACCCCCTAAATGTCTTTGTTGGAACAACTACAGAGCTTTGGTGTCTGTTTAACTAATGAGTGCTGATTGGAGTGTTTTTCTCTTTTTATAAACACTAAGAAATTTATAGAATGTTCTTAATGTATCAAGAATTTCAGATATTGAATGTCTATTTAAGTAGAAAGTGTTAATTAAAGCTTTTTTTATAATATGGAGAAATAATGAAATATTCTTTATGCTCCATTATGTGGTATATTTGATACATTTAATTTTTACACAGGTTAAATAGAGAATAAACATCCATTTCTAATGAATTACAGACACTTATTGTCTATGTGACCAAACATGACTTTATTCATATTTATTTTAATCACAATATAAGAAGAATTTGTGAAAAACTCTTACTTGGTCCGTCCCTGAGTATTTGTCCACTTTTGACTTTTGGAACTGTTCATCTAAGCACTTTGACTCATCAATTTATCTCAATGTGTAAGCTTAAAAATAGTCATGTGTGATCTTATTTGATTCGTCTTAACATATAGATTATTAATATATAATTTTTATAATTTTTTAATATACAAATTACAAGATAAAATGGATTAAAGAAGTGCATTGGATGGTGTGCAAAAATGAAAGTGGACAAACACTTAGGGACGGAAGGAGTACTATATTATTTGGTATATGATTATTACAAAATATTATTGATATTGTATATGATTATTTGGAATATTTGACGAGTAAAATTTTTATGAAAAAAGTATGATGTGATAGATAGGGTATGAAAAAGTATGGGATAAAAGTGGTTTTTTAATAGAAATGGAGAGATTGTGAGACACCTTTTTTTTAAACGTGAATGACTTTTTGGGACGGAGGGAGCATTATTTATTGATTATTTCACATATTTGATGTGTGTAATTTTCATACATGGTACAAAAAAATAGTTTAATCAGCGATGTAAATACCATTTTAAATATGCATGAAAGTGTACGTAATAATCAACTCCAAATAGGCCAAACACTCAGATGACACAATTCTAAATCACTAGAACTAATAATTCTCTTGTGTCATTGAACCAAAGTAAAAGACTAACACAAATTATGCAAGAAATACATTTTTAGATACTCCTTTTTTGAAAATGTAACTCACATATAATCTATTAGAAAAAATAAATGTCATCTACAATGTTCATCTGTGAGTAAATAATTCACATACACTAAATATCTGTACTTGTTTACCAAAGACACATAATGTCTGGGTAACCTCACTCACTCTTTCTTCCTCCTTAGATCCCTCAACTCCCTGCCTCACTGCCGATGATCAACGCAGCACCCTGCCTTCATCATCACTGCCATAGGATCTATATCATGGGATCGATCATCTTCCCCGCCCCGCCAATCCTCTTCGTTGTCTAGAAGATGCTCGGCTTGGGCTCCCCATCACCGCCCTAGAAACGTCACAACAACGGCATCATCGAGATCTAGATCTAATCACAATTATTAGAAAAGTAAACATTTAACCAAAGTAAACATTTGAGAGCTCCATGTATGCTCAAGAAAAGTAATCTAATCGCAATTATTATTTATCACAAATAAAGAATGTTTATGAAGCAAACATAAATCATGTACACTTTCTAGATAGTAGAATTTATATATTTCTCATATGCCATTGAACCAAAGTAAAACACCGGTGATTTATTGATTGACAAACCTTAATGTCTACACAAACAAACCTTAATGTCTACATAGACCTTAAGGTTGTGAAATGAGTGTCTTATTTCACACACTCATTGTTTGTGAAGTATATCTACACAGACAATAAATGTCTATACTCATATAATGCATTGACAATTTGAGGTTTTTAAAATGACACATTATAGATATAAAACACATTCATTTTGATGTGTTATATTATTTGTATAATATGATTTTTGTGATTTTTGCCTTTGATCGCTGCCGCTGAATCATTACTTGATGTAAATCACAGGTTGCTGGTCGTCTATCTACGGCTCCAGAAAGCTAAGGTGTCAAGAATCCATGGTCTACTTTAGACTAGAAAGCGTGCTGGTTCGGTAAGGTCAAAATCTTACTTCATTGAAATCCTACTTTAGACTCATAAATCCTTCTTACACCAATTCATTAAATTTTTGAGTTGAAGGAGTTTGTGCTTAGGAAAAGAGGTAGAACTACGAGTGTCTCTTGCCAAAGAAAGTAATTTACATTCTGATTTCTTACAACAATTGATATATGAAATGTTCAATATAATTTCATTACATAGACACTATGATGTTGATAGGTTTGTAACACAAACATGCGTTTTCTGTGAAATAAGAAACAAAAATAATGGGAGAATTTAGACTTAAAGTAATTTAATGTTAAATCTTAGACCATGACAGAGACATTAAAATGCAAAATTAAACAATTTGAACATTCAATAATTTTTTTCAGGGAGCCATTTAAATCCAAAAGTAAATGTATGTATTAGCATTAGTTATTGACCGTGGAAATAGCATTTATTGATCATTACTAAGAAATCTGAAAACATTCTACACATAAACTTTACAGACTATGTGCACTAGTGACAAATTACCTCACAACTATTAGAGAGTTGACATATTTTTTAAATATTTGTAAGTAATAGCTGCCTAAAGCTGGAAAAAAAAATTGAAATTGGGAAAGTGCAGCAATAAAATCAGATCTATGAACAAACAAAACAAATTTGATTTTTGTCTAAATCGGATTGGAAAATAAAAATTCCCACCAACGATGAGCAAAATCAGATTTAGCAATGAACAAATGCAAATTTGATTTATGTCAAAAACCAAATAGAAATTTGATTTACCAGAGTGGAAGTGTGAAGTTGAAGGCCGTCGGCGAGGATTTGGAGTGGAGGGTGATGTCGCAGAGGAAAAAGGAAGATGAAGATGGTGGAAGTCGGTACAGTGGAAGATGAACAAGGCAGATGCGAGGATGAGAAAGACGATGAAGGCTGGAGCTTTTGGGTATGGGAGTGAGGCGGAGAAGGGGAGCAGGATCATTAACCAGCGAAGAAGAGGGCTGCTTGGTGCAATTGATCGGGATAAAGAGACAGAGAAAGAGAGAGAGAGAGAGAGAGATACTAAAGGGGTCAGAGGGATATGGGGGTGGGGGGTTGGCCTTTTATATGGTGTACCCCTGATGTACAAAACTGGGATACACATAGCATTTTCCTTATTATTACTATTATTAATATATGAATTGATCACTTTATTTAAGCTTCTACGACATTCCACAATGTGTCTTTCGGTTATTAATTAATCTTTAGTCCATAAGTTTTTTGACACTTGGGTCAAATTTTTGATTGAAAAAGTCTATAAAAGTTATGGGGTGCAGTTGCGGGGGTTAGTGCAGTGGTGAGGGGGCAAGGTCGGGGATGGGGGTTAATGAGGTATTAAGAGAGGTATGAATTGTCAATTTTATGAATGAAGCACCATAGCTGTCTCGATTGAAATGCTGTCACGAAGTTACACCATTTGGGATGGTATAACTCTACATTTCCTCATATATATATATATATATATATATATATGTTCAAGTGAGAATGCAATCTTATGAAAGAAATAAGAATGAATATGATGCTTTAGATTGTGAGATCTAAGGGTCAAGATTGCATCAAAATTAGGTGCACCAAAATGATTTGAAAATGCATAATGTCGAAATGCACCAAAATCCTTTAAAAATGCCCTATCTCAAAATCCGAGTGCAGGATACAATCTGAGCCGCACGATGCATCAGATCCAAAGGCTAGATTTTATTCTTATTTCTTTCACCGAGGTGCATTCTCACCTGAACCGTATATATATATATATGTGTGTGTGTGTATATATATATATATATATATATATATATATATATATATATATATATATATATATATATATATATATATATATATATATATATATATATATATATATATATATATATATATATATATATATATATATACACACACACACATATATATATATATACGGTTCAGGTGAGAATGCACCTCGGT